TCAAAATCTTTAGTTAGTATAATATTATTACATTCCTAATTTTCGAAAGAACGTTCTTATTTTCTCTAACAAATTCTGTTTGCTAGTTTTGTCTTCTCGACGTTTTAGGTCATTCTGAATCGTTTGAGTTTAACATTAGGAAGAGTATAAATGTAGCTGCATGAGTGTCTGTGTATGTGGGCCAAAATTTGACTTTTCGTCGACGTTTTTCAAAAAAAAAAAACTATTTTAAAATTCATTGGCGGAGACATTCCTTGTTGGATTATAGAGTTCATCGACGACGTTCAAAGTATGATAAGCCTATAGAAAGTGGTTTAATTATAAAATTTTTTTAAAGATTGAAAAAATAAACCATGCCAAAAATTTAAAATGTCATAGTCACAATTTCAAAAGTAGCTAAATCAGAAAAAATTTCAGCAAGGCACAAAAATATAATTCATAGTCATTTTATTTTTAAATTGGTTGTGATATTCGAACTTTGGTTAAATACCGGTTATAAGTGGATTCGGGTTATCATATTTCAATTGTTATACCATGGATGCTATAGCATCTACGTCAAGTATTTCACTTGTATTTTATAAACTAAATAGACAATACGGGAAAGGATAAGATAAAACGAAAATGTCTAAAAAAGTCAGATAGTCCTTACCTTGACGGGTATAATAATTACAAAAACATTAAGTTATATAAAACTAAATTCAAAGTAATTGACTTCAGAAATTGAATGCTATAGCATCTTAGTCATTCTGAATCACCATAAAAATGAATGCTATAGCAATCACGTCCGCGAAAGTGTTGATCAAGTCAATTATTCATCCATATCGGGAAGTTTTTGCTACTTCTTTCAAGGCAAAATTCCACTTACAACTAGTTAATACATTTTATTATGCTATGCTATTTCTATGTAATCAATATTTATAAAATACTAGGAGAGGGTGGGTACGGTTATACTTTTTTTTGATCAGCCATAATTTTGTTAATTTACCAGTTAGGAAGGAAAAAAGTAAATTGAATGGTAATTTGAACATTTGTCCACGGGGAAATACTGAAATACTGTCCTTAAATACGATAGATGAATTATGATTACTCATAAAATCCAATTATGCTATTATCCGTCACAACCGCACCCAGTCTCCCCTACATGATATTAGAACTTAAATAGGTTAGTCTCTTTTATGATTACAAACCACATCTAATCTTACGATTACAATGTCGTACAAAGTTCCATAAAATTACTACTTTTCCTGCAGGAAATATGGCAGTTTTTGCTAGTTTTTCGATGGCTTTGTCGAATATCTTAGAACAATGTGAAGTGATCAAAACGCAAACGGGGCCGTTTATGTTTGTGAAACTTTTAATGACGCCGAGTTTATGTTTTTATAACCGACTGGGATTCGTTTTGATATAAACTTTATTGCGCTCGTAAGTCGAAATGGCGTCAACTTTCGCATTTATGACATGTCGAATGTCACGGAGTTACTAAACTTGACTACCTACCCACTGCCACTACTATCCAGATAGGAAGTACATCTCTCCTGAAGGTTTAAACTTTCGTCCAGAGCGGTTATTATGAGATTAAGTTTTGTTATATTGTTTCATGTTCTATTTCATTGGTGGTGACAAATTTGGAATAAACTAGTGGTGTATGGCATCGTGCCTTAAGGCAAATTGTTGGAACTTCCTATAGCAAAAATTAATTTTTTTTTTTCAATTTGAAAAGTTTAGATTTTTAAGAATTTTGAAGTTTATAAAAAAAAATACATATTTCTAAAAAAAATGATTTTATTTTATATTTTGGAAATGTTAAACTTTTATAGAAATGAAATATCGAAGCGCGTCTTCGCGTGCAGTCAGACAGACAAACAATGTTACGGAATCCATAGAAATGTAAACAAAATGTATACTTATTATTAAAATCTCTATAAAATATCTGATAGTTTGATGTGCATATGTCTAATGATCATTTTTGACAGCCAAATGGCTTTATTAGACCTGCCTTTCCAAAAATTTAATCAATTCTTTATTTCGTCAATATATTATAATAAGTGTCAATATATAACAATAAGTAGTGTTTTTTTGCTGAACCTGCCTCGTTCAAAAACTAATCAGCATATATCCTTATCAATAGGAATCGAATGTTTTTTGAATGATTAAAATTGGGTGAACCTAGATTCCTAAATCGTCGACGAAAATTTGTATCCGAACGCTTACACACACACGTATATACATCCAATTTTTCTAAGTATGCCAAAATGTTCAGAAACCTTTGAAACGTAAAGATATATGAAAAAAATTATTCTAGACTTTTTTCGATTACTATAACAAGTTAGAAAATTAAGTGTTCATTAACTTCACAGCACCATCGTTAAAATTTTGAAAGCCCAGAGTTTTTACGATATTTCTGAGTATGTCAATTTCGCTATCAAACAAGATTTTGGTAATGAACTGTCTACAAACAATATTTGATATAACTTTTCCTTAGTAATAGCAAAAAAATCAAACATTTTTAATTTTCATATATAGCGTCTGAAGAATCTCAAGATTCATTTACTCATTTCGAATACTCAAGATTCTATTATAATGCTTTAAACATTCTGTAACCGTTTTTGTTTCAAACTATTGTTACTTTATTTAATTTCATTATATAATTTTGGTGTTAGGCTTAAAATCGTGACATTTACTGTAATTAATTTAATTAAGGTAATTTGTTTATTCCAATGATAATAATCTTGTATCCGGAATAAATAAAATGTAAATAAATTGAAATAATAGTACAATATTTATCTTTACTCAAAACTATGTTAAAATTAATGAATTATAATAACAATTTACATTATAACGAAAATCAGTATACTTTAAAATCTCAATGAAAAATATAAATTTAATTTGACGCATTTGTTACATTTGGTTTTATCAACTTTTGAAAAAATATAAAATATGCTTTATCTAAACGAAAATTATATTTTTATTTTATTTAGAATAAAATAAAACAAATAATTTAATATATAAAAATATTTTTCTTATGCTAGGTTTTACTTGGGCTCTAAAAATTTTTGAATATTTCGACAATACAGCAATAACAATTTTTTCAAAATTTATCACTTTAGTATCAATTATAATATTTTTTCTCATAATTAATAATAATTTCTTAAATTTTGCTCTCATTTTAATAAAGCTATTTTTTTATATTAGTTTATTGTAAATTTAACTGTATTTAATTTTTACCTAATTTTTTACTACTTTACCTACATATTTTAATCAAGAAAAAAAAAGTATTACTAGAGAATGAAGGTGGGTCACAAAATCGGTGAGACTGTAGTAGTTTAATTTATAAAAAAATGAAATTATTTAGATAAATATTTAAATTAATTGATTTCAATATATGAAGAGATAAGAAAGAACAAATTTGTAAATAATACGAAATGTTTTGTATTAATTGACAACTGTAGCCTTTATCGTAGACCACTGTATCATTATCCCCTCAATTATTGAATGTCTCCATAAGACAGATTGTGATATATTTTGAAAATAATAAAAAAAAAATGACAACCTTTCTTGATCTTTTGACCAAGTATAATTCGTTTCCTTATATAAGGTAAGCTCTATATTGTGGAAAAATATAGAGACACGTCTTATGTGTTACAATGCTTCATGTACGATATGGGATTAAGTTTACAGCTGTACCTTTTACAGCTCTTCTGTTTCATATTTATAATGACTCCGGAGCCATTAAAGAGATTTCTTACATACGATATAAACAATACATGTGATGGGAACATTCTTGGTAAGAAATAATAATGATCTCGTTGTTTCGTCGTAAGGAATTACCTGTAATCCGCGTAGATCCACGGAAGGAAGGGACTCAGGAAAGTGCTGGGGAAAATTTCCTGAATTTCGAGACAAATATATTTTTATTGATACAGTATTTTACATTTTATATTAGAAAAAATAAAATAGTCATAAAATAACAGCGAGCATAACAACATACAAGCAGCTTTTTATCTATCTATCAGGAACAGGCTAAGTTTGCTATGCTTTTTTGAGTTTGTGAGAAATCTTTACTCTTCCTAATGGTTATATGAGCACGCTACGATTCTGATATGTTCTGATCATTTGCATCAACATAACAACATCAGAATAATTATAATCAAATATTGAAATGTTCTTAAAAAATATATCATATATATATACAGGGTGTCCCAGATCTTGACGTCAAACCGAAACGGCGGAATCAGGACTTTAACTGTTCTGAAAAAAATTACAAAAAGTTATTATCTCACGTTGTTTGGATATTATGAGCTTTTAAGTACTCCTAGAGCTTTGATGAAATTATGACCATTTTTCGGTTATTGTGGTTAATTTTTACTAAATTTGTTTATTTAAATTTTGCAACCGAAACAATTACACAATTGCCCCAAGTTTTCAAGACTATTTGTTGAACTATGAATTTAAAATTTTTAAAATCAGTCGGCTTTGGAAGGCCCTTTTTTTAAAAAAATCTTCTAAAGTGTGTTGGCAAGTTTCATCAAAAATTGGCGCATTTAATCAGGATTATAAAATGGTATAATACTTAATAAATTTATTATTGAAAAATTTTGGGTAAAAAAAAAACCAAAAATGACATGATTTTTGCTAGTAGGTACATTTCGCTTACATTCAGGTTCGAGACAAATTTTATAACATTTAATTTATGTAGGTAATTTGACTTATAGAATCTTTAAAAATGTATTTTAGAGTGCGTAATTAACTATAACACAATTGCCAATTAAGTTCATTATTATAAATATCTCTGGTAAAATATATTCAGTGAGCGTACTTATTATTTTATTACAGATTTTTTAGTACAGCAAGTATTTACTTCTTAATACTTTTTTATTACAGCAACTTATCATATTGCGTTTTCTAAAAGTATTAATAAAATATCAATTCTATTTATAAAATTTGAACGTAATTTTTATTTTGTCTAATTATTTTTTTTCAATTGACTATTTATTTTCTAGGTCCACCAGGCCCACCAGGAAAACGAGGGAAAAAAGGCAAAAAAGGAGATACTGGAGAACCAGGTCCAGCAGTAAGTACTTGAGACCATTATTGTAAAAAAAATTAAGATTTTTTTAAATATCATTACCTTTTGTATTATTGATTTTTCATTGAAGATTTTTAAAATTATATAAGATATTATATCGTGTAAAGGTAAGTTTTATTGGTTTTAACAAATAAACATTTCACAGAGTATTTAAATAATTGTAAAACGTAGTGAATTTGTAAAATCCAAATATAATGTTAAAAAAATACATTTATCATAAAATATGTTTGCTCCAAATTTTGTTCTATAGAAGCTTTTGTTTACACATTTTTATTAGCTATAGATTAGCACCAAATGCACTTATGCATAACAATACCAAAAATTATACAAAATCATAGTATCGAATTAAAGTTTAAGCCAAATTTTACACTTTTATTGATTTGTTTAGTTGGAGAAAATAATTTGATGCTATGATTATTATATATTAGATCAACAATAATTTTGCATAGAAAGTTTAGTGGCTTATAAAATAATATGTCGATTGTTATTAATTAATATTAACATTTATCATTTTAAGGGGTTTTCTTATCTGGAACTTTAAATAACAGAATTATTAAAATATTTTTGATACATTTATTTTTATTTTTAGTGTGTACTTTAACAGAAATCTTGTATAAAACGATAATGTAAAATTATTCTTATATTTTCATTTTTTTATTTTTTTATTTTGATTTGATTATTTCAATTTTTTATTTGATTTAATTTTTAATATGAATGTTAATTTATTTATTACATGATAGTTACATTTTGCAAATAATTTCATCAAAATTTTCAATTCATATATTATAATTTTTCTTAAAAAAAAAAGATTTAAAAAATATATTAATATAATTTGTGTTTGTTTCCATTATTATTATAGTTTATCTGGATAGTTGACCCCAAAACTTTCTCTTGTTAGAATTAAATAATTCCGTTTCGAATATTCAGTTTCGAGAATTTGTGTTTCAATATGGTTTTTGTTTATGTTCTATTTTTTTATTTGCAGGGAGCTACGGGTCCTGCTGGTAAAAACGGCTTTCCGGTACAATTTTTTATTTAACGCATTTCATATTTTAATTTTATGACATTTTATCGATACGCATTTGTCTTTTTTGTGTATTATGTAATATATGTATTCGTATATACAATGGTTGTAGAATAAAATATAATCTGATTAAAATTTATTTGAAGAACTATATAAAAAAACCTTAACTATCATGGCAAGTAAACATTCAACAGACATGATTAATGTCGTGTAATCAATTTACCATTTACGTGAAAATTAAATGTTTGGCATTCATGCATGCCAATATTGATCTTTTTTTTGTATAAATATTTTTTTACAATTTTTAAAAGCAGTAAAATCTAAATTATTATATTCTATGTTACAACCTTGTATAGCATCATTTATTTTGGATGTATCCAACGATATCTAGCTTTGATTGTTTGCACCATCAGCTTGAATTTCGATCCAATTTTAATTGCTCAATTATTGAATACAATTTTTTACCTTTGAAATATTTGATTGCATTCATTTGTATTCGAAAATTGCAATTAGGATTCTATTAATTTTGGTCTTGGAAAAAGGTGTGATAAATGTATATTTAGTTAAAAGAGCAAGCAACTATTCCTGGATCAACATTGTAGTTGATGTTCGTAAATTATTATATATTATATATTTATTTTTATTGAATTTGACGATATTAATATTTATGTTCTTGCATTTGGTTTTAATTCGTTCAATAAATATCATCTTATTTAACACGTTAACCGCCAGTCAGTCATATGTCATGTGTCTGACACTGTGAAGTTTTACACAAGCCATTTGGTAGTAGATTGAAAAAGTTTTAATTTTAATTTTAAAATTCATTGATTTATTAGATTTTCTTGAAACATTTTTAACTAAATTATCTAATAAAGTCACCATGGCTCATGTTTTTTCTGATATAATCATGGCGATTAACGTGTTAAATATATTATATATTAAATATATAAAAATATAAATGTATAAATATATAAATATTATACATATAAATATTACTATCGTCCAATTCTGTTTCACAGGAATGCAGCATTAGCGAAAGCATGAATTCATTTTCATTTTAGGATGTCACAATTTGCAGCCCAAATTTATATAATATTTATTTAACGTATTTCTAAAATTGAATTTATTATTAAAGTTAAAACAATTTAATTTTTTAATAATTCCAGTTAAGGGGGCCTAAGGGTGATAAGGGCGACCGCGGTTACATGGTAAGAATTGTAAATGATGATCCTCTTTTATGTTGGTGGTCGGTTTTTATTAACCCAAGGCAGATTAATAAACTAAATAATGATATTGAACTAATGAAAATATTTAATGATAATATGCTAATTATTTGTAGATTTTTCTAACATTTCCTGATTTCCGTTTAACACGTAGATAATAACTGTTTAGGTATATAACAAACTAATCTACTAATTAACACCGATTGTACTGTTTTTCTAAAAACCCGAAAAATAATGTAGAAGCAAATAATAATTTTTACAAATTTGAAAGATTAGTATTTTTTATTACGAGTTATCATTAAAAAGAAATAACATAGTAAACTTGTACTTTATATTGGCGTGAAATTTATTAAAACATGATTTTGCTGTATACAGTGTCCCAGAACTTCCCAGAACGTCAAGCCGAATGCGGGTGATAGTATTGACCTTAACTATCCTGAAAAAATTAAAAAAAAAAATATTGCACATTGTTTCGAGATTGTGATCTTTTAAGTGCAACTTAAGGCTTTGGTGAAATTCTGACTATTTTTAGTTTTTTGTGGTTAATTTTTATTAATTTTGTTCATTAAACTTTGGACCCAGTGAAAATGAATAACACAATTCCTCAAAGTTTTTTCTGTGAAACTATGAAATAAAAACTATAAAAATTTAAAAGTTTTAAATTCATAGCTTAGCAAAAAGTCTTAAATCTTAAAAACTTGGGTCAAAACTTGACAAAATAAAGAACTGATTAAATTTTAGGAAAGGCAGTTCTAGTAGTTTCGGAGATCAAATAAAAAAAGTAAAAAAAATGCCATTTGGAGGTCAAAAATGATTATTAAACACATGCACATCAAATTATAGAGATATAAATAATAATTACAAACTTTGTTTCTATGGAGTCCGTATTTATTAGACTGCGACGCGGCGCTTACGCGCTTTAATATTTTATCTCTAAACAGTTAAAGCAGAGCAATTGCTTTGAAGAAAGTTAAAACTTTTCAAACGTTTTCAAAATATTAAAAACAAATTCAAATTTTTCAAAAAAGTCAATATTTTTTCCAAAACTTCAAAATTCTCAAAAATCTAATTTATTCAAATTTTTCAAAAAAATTCAAAAGCTTTTGTAGAAATTCTAAATTTTTGGTACGAGAAGTTTCAGCAATTTGCCTTAAAGCACGATGCCATACACCACTAGTTCTAAATTTTCTCTGGTCAGTCAAGGTCAATACTATCACCCCGTTTCGGCTTGGCGTTAAATTATGGGACACCTTATATACATGCTATATAACCCGAGCAAAATACATATCTTTCCAAAAATGCGAAGCACATATTACTGTAACAAGTGAAGCTTAATGTTTGAATAAAAAATTGCAATTCTGTTTTGAAAAGTAATCATAAAAATTCATCCGTGTCAAGGCCCTATTTGAACGAAAAAAACGTCTTGTGTTTTCAAATATTGAATTATTACCCTCCGGCAAGTCGTGATTGACTCGCACGTGCTCAACTGCTTTTCCAAACCAAAACCATCTCAAATGAAATAATTGAAAACAGTTACTATATTTGTTATGCTATTAAAACTTAAATTAGATTATTTATTATATGAAACATCTCTCTAAAACGATCTTTCGACATGGTCGGCTATTATTTTATTATCCATGTATAATTTGGTTTATGTTGCTGAAGATTGCGATTTAGATTTATATAAATAGATTGATATAACATTTATATGGAAAGATTTACATTTGTATAAAAGGATATGTAAATTGATTCGCATTTTCCATTATTTATATGCAGTCAAATAAATTGACTAAATACAAGCTTATTTTTAGGTTAATCTCTAAAAAAAATATTAATATACATTTTCTTTATTTATTTTCAAGCATATGATGTTTGAGACATTTTATATTTGTTTTAAAAAATTATATTTTGAAGGGAGTGTTATGTATTTCACTTGTATCCAACAAGGAACATCGAAACGTAAATATTTCAATTTTATAGAACATTGCTAATTTTTTTATAATCCGAAAACCCACAATAAGTCTTTTTTTACACTATTCTAAATTTACTGTATTCTAAATTTACTTGACTGTAATATAATTCAAAATTACTTCAGTATAGGTTTATTATTCTTTATGTAGGGGATGTAGGGGCTGTTTGTAACATTTTTTTAAATTAATAAATCTCCTGATCCACTGAATATATTTAAATGAAATAAAAATTAATAGTTGCTGTAACTATTTTTCTACCAAATCAAGATAATCATTTAAACATTATCAAAGTTTAATAAATTAATATTATATGAATTACTCAAAAATTAATTAATTTGGCACGAAATAAGATTTATAAAATTAAAAATCGGTCGATAATAATAGCTTAAACCAAAATTTTATGATAGATAAATTTTATATCGCCTGTCAAAAATGACGCACCTGCACAATTCTGTTTACTGCTTCGGCCTGCGGGACAGTAGCTATGACAATATTATGCAGGACGATTTACATGTCTAATCGAGGCAAAAAATATTTTAATATTTTTCAAGATCCTATTGAAAAACGCCTGTTTTTAGTTACCCCCGTTACATGTAGCCCCTACTGATAAGAAACTTTTTTTAAGCAATTAAAACTTTATGTAGGACTCATTAATATGAGAAAAAAGATATATAAACTATTGTCGTTTTACTAAATATCGAATTAAATAGTAAATCAAACTTAGATAAACATAATTTGATTTTAAGTACAAAATAGTTAACCATTTTTTGAATCCAATAAGATATCTCATGGTCAGTAAATAGAAAATTCAATTTTTAGAACGAAACACGTCGCCGTTTTATATTATATCAGTTTCCTTTTTTTATTGATTTTATTTTGTGTTTTTTTTATCTTTTTTGGTATTATGATAAACTTGATTCGTTTATCACAATCAGCCAAGATATATCATCTATTCTTTCAAATACTTTATAATGCAGTATTTTAGTATAGTGATTTTCATATAATGGGAGACAAATTGTAGTCATACTTTTCAATATAACTAAGTTTGATGCTTCAAAATTACTATGTTTCTTTATGAAATAATCACGATTAAACAACAACAAAAAAAGATATCAATATGCTTTCGTTAACGACAAAATAGTTATTAACTTTTTTTTAGATTAACTCGTTTTGTTGTTCAAGAATTCTTGATGCGCCTCCGGCACGAATGTGCTGTAAACCTTGTCGAAATTACAGTTGAAAATGTTATATTAAAATTAATAATTTTAATTATATTTATTGAATTTAAATTTTAACCACAGCAAACATTTACGAGGGCATGAACTAATATGCATAAATAATAGCAAAATTTGGTATGATACCAAGTACCGTGAAAATTTATTACTCTCGTAAAGTTAGAAGAGCGAGCCGGAAAATTAGTTTTCTTGTTAGAACCAATTTCATTATATTTTGTTTTATTTCCTATTTTAACTAACAGCCCTTTTTACAATTTTTAACTTCCCGGTAAGTTATAGTAATCGCAAAAAAATCCATAATGAAATTTTTTGTATATCTTCACGTTTTGAAGGTTTCTGAACATTTTGGCATACCTTAGGAAAAATGGATGTGTGTATGTTCAGGATGTGTTCTGTGTATGGATACAATTTTTCGTCCACGTTTTCGGGCGTCACGGATCAACCGATTTGAATGGTTCAAAAAATATTCGATTCCTATTGATAGGGATATGTACTGATTAATTTTTGGCAAAAGTCGGTCCAGGCGTTTTGGAGTTACGGAGCAAAGAGTGCAGATAATAGAAATCGAGTTTTTGAGAGTACGGAGCATCCGATTCGGATGATGCAAAAAACATACAATTTGTAGTGATGGGGTGAAGTGATGATTAGTTTTTGGCGGAGGCAGGTTGAGGCGTTTTGGAGATACGGTGTAAAATGTACAAAAAATGGCAGTTTTTGAGAGAAATACGCATTCGATTTGATTGATTCAAATAAATTCCTGCTTGTGTTGAAGAAACGATTGATTGAATTTCTAAATTTTAATTTGGTGTGGGAAGTTCCAGAAATTTGCCTTAAGGCACGATGCCATACACCACTAGTTTGTAATTGCAACTAACAATCTTTTTTTACAATTTTCTTAATATAAATAACATCGAATCTATAACATCTATTCGATAGGTTCAAATTTCGAAGCACTTACTTTCACTAAAGCATCTTGTCGAGCACGTCCATCATGATTTTTCTATATGTAATAACATGGATTTTAATTACCGTTTCCAATTATCTTAAGTGGCTAATCCAATTATGCTGCCACAGATTAATTGATATTAGAAAGATAGATGCAATGGCGTGTATGACGAGAACAATAAAAAAAACAAACAAAAAATGATTGAACAAAATCTCATTTCGTAACGCGACCGCCTTGAGAAATATATAAACTGTAATATATAAATATATAAATATTTATATAATGAATTTTTGTTTATTATACTTATTATATAAAATCAAAGTCTGGGTACGGTTGTGCTACTTTTTTTATCAGCAATAATTTTGTTAATTCACCAGTTAGTTGGGAGGAAAGTAAATTCAATGGCAACTTGAACATTTGTCTCTCTAAAATCAAATCACACAAGAGAAGAGCGAGTTAGACATAAAAAATAGATTAAAAAGCAATAACTATAAACACCAAAATGGTTTATAACGATTTTTATTAAATATCATAAATAAATAGCACAACACAACATAATCATTTAAACAAAGCTTATGAATATAATATAACAATATATAATAAAACATATTTTTTCAAACAAGAAATCTTTGTGAAAACTTTTGTATTGTTGTATTGAATTTTCCTTTCCCTTTCTCTTTCGTATTTTGTCTTACAATTAGTTAAGTTAGATTTTTCTTTATCTGTTTAAATTTCACCCAAAATGGACAAGAAATACATGTCACATAAAACAAAACTAATCGCTGGTAATTATAATTATCGCTGGTAATTATAGTAGTTATAACTACTAATGTTCAACTTACAGCAAAATAGCAATGTGATCTATTTGTACACAAGTAATAGTTACTAATAAAATAAATCGAACAAAAAATCTTACTTTTGGCTCTTTAAAAACATTTCGGTCTACAGATCATGTTAATGTAGGGTGCAGACTCAATTCACTGATGCAAACTTTTTCGAACAAACATACTTCATCTTTTTCCCCTTACCGTATTCTGGAACAACCGTACCCAGTCTTTCCTACTTCATAATAGAATACTAAATAAATTAAATAAAATAATTATATTAGTAAAATACAAACGCACATAGTTATATTAAAGAAATAGTTGTCTAAATTGAACAAAGTACAATCGTGTATGTGAATGTCAATGCTTGTTCAGAAGATCAGCCACATTTTTTTAACACTGACAAATCTAAATTTCTTGGGACGAGCACTAATTATTCTAAAATTGTGCTGATTTCGTTCTATCTGTTCTTTTTGGCATTTGGGATCAGACTATTCTTCATATTTTCCAAATCTACTTATTAATAAAACGCTGCTGCTGGAAATTAGTAAACGTAATGCACATCTTTATAAAAACTTGAATATATTTTTGAAATATTGGCGGATATAATATTAATACTGTAACTTTTATATTTTCAAAAATATAAATTATTTTAGTAGCTGTTTTGTCTATATTAATTTAGTATTTGTTGACTTATTAAATATTATCCGATAACCAGTCTTCATATATTATATGCAAGCCACAAATAAAGTCGAACTGTCATCTTAGTAAATTTTAATATTGATATTGAATAAATTATTAACTCATCAAAATTTTGCAAATTTGTTATCTATATCAATAAATTTTAGCAGTGTATTTTCTCATTGGCTTTGTGTTAAAAAATTAAATATAAATGTTTCTTAATAGTAATGTGTAAGTTTTATTTATTTTTTTATTCTATTTATTGAATTACAATCTATCTTTACAAAAAGGAAGACATTCAGTAATTTTGATGATATATGAAATATTAAACATTAGATCTAAAAGGTTACCCAGTAGTAAGCCTTTTCAATTTTGATATATTAAATTTAAATTTTGTGATTATATATAGAGTAAACTTCAAAATAAAAAGATCTAAATCTAGAGTAAACTTAAAAATAAAAAGATAAATGAGTATAAATTGTGGATTATAACAACAAATAAAAAAGTAATGTGTAAGTAATACATAAATCAAGGTAATATTTTGGTCGAACAAATTATTGGAAGTTTTTTATACTTTATTAGTAACAATCCTGTTTAACAGTTACAAAGCTGTTATCGACCATTACCTATAGCGCGTTGAAACTATAACATATTTCTTATTTTTTTTCAAATTTTCCAAGCAAATATTTGCTTTAGTATGTAATAAATAACACAACGTTCAAGAAAATTCAAGAAGACATATTAGGATATTGGGCTCACATTACCTCCCAGTGAAGCTTTTAATATAAGAATACTATTTAATCGTTCACTCACACTCAAGCAATTTTTTGCTATGATTTGTTTTTATTTTCTAATACTAAATTGCAGTAATTATTTTGAAACCAGCAAAATTTTGGTAATTAGAAGACCATCCAATGGAACAAATTCTATTTTTGTAATATGTGCGAACAAATTCTATTTTTGTAACATAATAATAAAAGTATATGAGTAACAATTATACTAAGATAAAAATATAACAAATTAAAGTAAAGAACATCAACATTATTGATAGTGAAGATAGTAAACGGTTTGCTAAGATGACGTAGGTCTATCAAGGGTTTTTAACAAAATGTTTCTAATATTTTCAAACATTTAAAATTTATTTAATGTGTGCATTTTTGACGTTAATACTGATTCGTAGCAGCAACGATTACAATTCTACTATAATATATGATGTGAAGAAATATAATAACGATACAAAAAACTTCAATAAAACGGTGGCTGTTCTTTTGTTGCAGGGACTCGGCGGTATTCGAGGTTACCCCGGATTTCCGGTTTGTTGTATAAAGAATTAAGAAAAATATATATTATATAAATATAAATATAAATATTATATATATATATATATATATAATGAAAATAATGAAAATAATGAAAAATATGGTGAACGGAGAGAATATCTTTGCAAAGACTGCACTTATTTTGGCACCTCTTAATAAATAATATTGAATTTACGAACGTTTCAGGACTATGGGTTGTATCATCATCAGTTTAAATTTATATAAATAATTTAATTTCCTTAAAAAATTGCATTGTTTAATAGTATATCATTACCATGAGACTTATTCGAATGGTTTGTTCTAACCAATATATAATTCCCTTACTCAGAAAAAAAAAATTAAAGCCGTGGTTTCCAAACTTTGGGCGCGAGGTTGTTGCAAAAAGGGCGTACATCTACTTCCAAAATAGTATTTCAAAAAAATAAAGCAAAAAATGAATGAATAAATAATACTTTTTATATATATTTTGACATAATATGTTATATTAATTTGTAGCCTAGTAAATGAATTGTAATATCATTTGAGTATTTATAAAATTATATTGTTTGAAAAATTAAGTGGGGCACAGCAATATTTTTAAAAAAACGAAACCACTGAACTAAGGATTGAGATCAAGCAAACTAGTATCTAATTCTCTTTTTTTTAAATATTATTTCGGTTTTATATATTTTTTTTGGTCAAAAAGTAACTGTAAATAATTTTTGGAGTATTTATTTTGGCACATATGTAAAAATTGTGGATATACTTAGTTAAAAAGGTAAATTATACTACATTTTTGAATATGAATCATGCAAAAATTTATCAGTCTATTAATATTATATATAATAGAGGCTATTAATATTAATTATATTCAGCTATGTTCTCTTTTTTAGTTTATGTTTTCTACAAAAAAATCCGATTCGCTAATTTTATGTTTTCTCGTTCAATTATATTTTGTATTAAATTTTATTCCAGGGAAAAGTTTGTGAGCTTCGTTGCTATATTCATAAATTTATAAGTATGATACTGAGCCAAACTAATGCCTCAAAACTGTTTGTAAATTTAATATTGTTTAATAAATAGTACAAAAAAGTGCAGTGAGCTCATAGGTCCAAATATATTATTTAAATGTATATTATATATATATATATAGTATATATATATATATATATATATATATATATATATATATATAATAAAGGTTTATATTTTTCTTTGCCGTATTTTAAATTTAATAAAAATTACTTTGACATTATTGCTTATATACAGAATATGAAAATAAACGGAATACTTTATTTCTTTATATTAAACTCAAAGTTAATGCACATAATATGACGGTATTGTCTCGAGACATTCGACAAAGAATAGAGAAAATTAAAACGAAAGGTTATTTTTTATCATTGAAATTAATATAAACAACACAAACTTATTATATATAGCAGAAAATTTGTTGAATAAGACATTAATTAATATTGACAATTTTTTATTTATGCTTTTCGAAACTTGCGATGGATCATTATTCAGCAAATCTAAAATAAATGCAAAAAAAATTACAATGATTGAAAAGTTTAATGAATTTTTTTAATTATTTTGTAAACAATATTATGCATCATATCAGGACAAGGCTAAAACATTTTTTTAAACAACATTTTAATTAGCAGTGAATCGCCAAAACAACGATGATTGTAAAATAAATATTGAAAACTATAACATTCACAAAATTTGGATAAAATGATGTAACATAACCCATTATTTTCAATGAAATGTATCACTATTGATGGCACATATCATGTCTCAAAACGTACAAATGAAGAATTGTCCATATTAATTATTTTTTTAATTCGACTAATTAATATATATATATATATATATATATATATATATATATATTATTTGCAAATTGCTTTCATATAATTATACATATTCATGCATTTTGTTTAAAGTAGTATTGTTCTTGTATGCTAGTATGTTACAAATTAGTTGTAAGTCACACTTAAGATTTAGCTCGAATTTATTTTACATAATATATTTTTAATAAGTTGCTGCAGTGAAACAAGCATGTGATTTTTATTTCAATTATATACTGTGCATTTTTTTTAAAGTTGTTTGCAATAAATTACATAATTAATTGAAAATATAAATCATTAATCATATATTGCACATCTAGATCTAAAGAATGGTAAATCAGACAAGTTTTATATATAGAACTAAAAAAATACGCTATATAGTATATAGTATATATACTAATATTACTTAGTTTTAGTTACACTAGAGTTAATAAATTTAATTAATAAATTAATTAGTATTTGTTTAGTTCTAGATGTGCATTATTACACAAGCATAAGAAATGTACAGTTACAAGTGCATCAAAGTACATAAAAAATAGTATTAAATAGTAATGATGAATAGTATATTAAAAACAGTAGTTAATTATGATATTTTGAATTGAATGTATCAAATTGTTGTTTTACAGGGTCCTATTGGTTTGGATGGTCCAAAAGGGGATCCGGTAAGTTAATATAATATTTAATGATTGTAATTTTATAGTATTACATGAGTAATTTATTCAGTAATAGTAGGCATTCCTCTTTTATATATCAAATTCCACAATTTATACCATACCTTTCACTGTTCCTTTATCACTATATGAATTTCAAAAATTAAAGCAAAATTTCTTTTTTCTTTGAAATTTATAGAAAAAGGTTTATTTTATCAACTTATGTCCTTATTATTTCAAAACTCCTTAAATAATATTTGCCTATGTTTTTCAATCATCTTTGATAATAAGTTCAAATGATTTTTTCCAAAATAAATAGAAATCAAAATTGTTTTTTAGGGCCGACCTGGAGAGAAGGGCCAAAAGGGCGATATTGGCAATCCAAGGTTTGATGTGTTCTCCACAGTAAAGGTAATAATATTATGATTATTATATATTAAAAAAAAATCTACACCATAACTGAAAATCGTTGTTGTGGTTTTTGTTATGAGTTGCTGTTTTAGTGTTTATTTGAATAATTGGGACTTGAAATTATATTGTATCATGATGGTTTAGTTCAATGGAAGACGATATGTTGAATTTAAGGATGAAGAGACCTATGTATAAATATAATAATAATTATTAAATTAAATTATACGTAATAAATAATACGTATATAACAAATAACATAACTATCAATTAAAAATAAAACTATTTTATTTTTGTATAAGTATCGCTAATGAAATTTATTACAAAATTCTAAAAATCTCTCGTCGCAATATCTAGAATGTCAAAAAACTAACAAGTTTTCAAAATCTAGAGAAATATTGTTTGATATACACTTATTTTACGTTTGGCAGGATTTATTTTAAAAATCTCATGTCAATTCTAAATTAATTTTTATATAAAATAATGTCAAAAAATTAACAATTGCTCAAAATCTGGAAAAAAATATTTTAAGTACCACCTACCATAGTTGTACAATGCTTGTTTTAAAAATCTCTTGTCAATCTTATATTAATGATTGTATAAACATAACGTCAAAAAATAACAGATTTTTTAAATTTGTACATTAGGCTTATCTTATGAGATTTTTTTTCTTAAATATAGCATTCAAAATACAATGAAATCATATAAATTTTTCATAAGTTAAATGAAAAAAAGAACAATAAATTTATGAGATTTTTTACTCGTTTCTTTACTTTATGTTTCAATCTATTAGCTGCTACGTCATATAAAAAATTTAAAATCGATGATTTCATGTTTTAGATTAATATATTTTCATTCTTTATAAATATATTTTGTATTTTTTGCATAACTTAAGGGTAAATGAACCAATGTTATAGAAGGTTATGTTATGTAGCACCAGTTTATACCAGTTTTTATATAAAGTGGTACTAAAAACTGGCAAAATTCTATGTGATTGCTGTGCACTCAGGCGTTTTAGATAAAAAATCTAACCTACAAAACAAACACTACAAACACAACATATAATCAAAACGATGTTATCATAACAGGTTTTTTGAGATATGATTGATAACATATGAGTGAAGTTGCACTTTATGTTGAAAACGTCTGATCGCACTGCAAATTCATGGCATTTTGATAGTGATTAGTAGCATTCTGTATGAAAACTGGAACGTTACATAGCCTTGCCATAACATTCGTCTGTTTTACGGTAGAATCGGCCGATAAGATTAGAATTGATAACTGCGAAGACATAATTAAAAATCGTTATTGATTTAGACTCTACCAACTAATGATTTATTTAATTTAAAATTTATTTAGCGTTTTATTTAATAGTAATACAACTGCGTACAATATTATATTTATTTAGCAACTTGTTCAGATAAAAATTTTGATTAACTAAAGTAAATATGGAGAGATCTCAATTATAATAGCAAATCTATTTTCGGAAAGATTTATTTAGTTTGACCCACATGGTTTGTGTTTGTATTATTTTTATGGCTTACATGAAGCTGTATATTCAGCGTAGACAATACAATATTAAAATAGTTCCTCAACTTAATCACCTACCACAAGGCGAACGAGTTGCCGGATGCAGAGCAAGTGCGCCACTTTTTTATTTATACTTTAGTTAAAATGGTAATGAAATTTTTTTATGTTGAAATAACTCATTACAGGTATATATGTATATACATTAGGGCGGGTCGGTTTTAAGGTCACTTAGGCACATATGATTTTTGGGTACTAGGAATCAAAATGATCATACCTCTAAAATGAATTATGATGTCGCGTGCATTGACTCCAAGATAAGGGTTAAATTTTGAAAAATCTGACATGGAGGGTCCCGAGTGATGAACCACGGGCATGGGTGGATTGGTTTGCCAAAGTTGTGGGGGTCTATCATACATGGGACACTCTAAATGGGTCAAAATGGAATTTTCAAATTTTAACCTTCATTTTTGGGTGAATGCACGGAACATCAGAATTTCATTCAGAGATATGGTTTCTTCGGCAAAGTATCTATTTTGATCTCTAGTATCCAAAAATCATATGTGCATAAGTGACCTTAAAATTGACTCAGCCTAATGTATATACATATATACTGTAATGAGTTATTATCATATGAATCAATTCTTTTAATCACAATTGCGTACATTTAGTAAAAACTTCATTATTCGATTATATGTAATACTTTTTATCTATGATATTATATCTTACATTTTTTATTTATATGTTTCTTTTGCTTTTGAGCCTTGCATAAAATTCTATTCAATTTCTTCATAATTAATTTGAAAAAAATTGTACTGTATCCTACAATTTTAGTTAATTTACCTTTTAATTGCTCGGGACAAAAGGTCTATTTCCTGACGCTCTCTACTCCGTATCTCCGTAATGGCTGGATCTGCCTTTGCCAAATACTAATCAGCATATCTCCTTATCAATAGGAACCGAATGTTGAATGAACCATTCAAATCGGTTCATCCGTGCGCTCGAAAACGTGAACGAAAAAATGCGGACACACAAAACACACACAAAACACACATCCATTTTTTCTGAGGTATGGCAAAATGTTCAAAAACCTCTGAAACGTGAAGAAATGTAAAAATTTTCATTTTCGATTTTCGGCCCATTCCCATAACTTACCCTACGGGAAGTTAACAATAATTCCACAAGTGACAACAAACACGCACACATGTAATGTAAGAACATTACGATTTGGAGAAATGGCGTTGCTTCATCTTTGACACAATTTCTTCAAAATTTCACGTCTGCTAAATATGCGAGATATGCAACCCTGGAAGAGTTTTTCAAATTTTCAGCAAGAATATTTTTTTGAGAAACCATAGAGATATCAGCTTCATTTTAAGAGTCCATACTCAATTTAAAATATTTTCGCGAGAGAGCCACCTTACTTCTGTATAATAAAGAAGGTAAATCATAGCTTCACCATCCTGACATAATTCACAAAATAGCCGCGTATTTAGTGCATGTCCCTTGATAAAATTTATGATCTTGATAACATCATGAGTGTGGGTTATTTTCCCTTATAAAAGCTGAAAAACCATAAATATGGCCCATCATAGATGAAGCCTAATCCAAAGACACCAAATTACGTTTACTTTATTATAAATATCTATTCCACGACATCTGAACTCGAGAAGGAAACAAAACAGCAATTTCTTTTCAAAATTATCTGCATCTTTATAGCAAACATATACCAGTTGTGAATTACTACTGAAATCCGTTGTCTCAAGCTGAATAGCAAAATATTTAGTTTGTTTCAATGCAAAAACTTCACTTTTCTTGCTAAAGCAGAGATTCTTTTCGGTAGTAGATTTTACTGAAGCTGATTTAAACCAAGCAAGATATTTAACTTGTTTTAGTGCACTACTTATTCCTTCACATTTTCTGCTAATGCAGAAATTCTTTCCGCTAGTAGGTTTTACTGAAGCTGATTTAGTGCTTTGCAAATATATATTTTTTACCCCTAAAAATTCCATTTTTACCCCATTTGGGGTAATTACCCCGGTTCCCCGACCACTGATTTATAGAATTAATTAAGAGAGCAATTCTCATAATCAGATAAAATAGGTTTGTTATGGGTCTTCAATTAGAATTTAGTGACAAATCATTAGTGAAATAAGAACTTGTAACAAATACATAAATTATACCAACAAATCAGTGTTTCATACAGTCCACAGCTACAAGGGTTAAATTATAACCCAACGACCTGAGTTAATGACGAAGAGACTTAATACACATATATTTCAGTTCTATACTTATATACTAAGACCTGAAAATCCCTACAGAGGCACTCTAGAGTGCTCAAAGAATAGTGTAGTGTTCACACCAGCTCAAAACTGAACATTTTAAGTTCATAACATTCGAAATAAATAGTAAAAATCATGATTGGAAGAAAAAAAAAAAAAAAAAAAATTGTATATGCTTATGTATGCATTTTGTATATTGCATAGCCATTATTATTGGATTATACTAAGACCTGAAAATCCCTACAGGTGCACTACAAGTGCATATTTTAGTTATCTAAGACCAGAAAATCCCTAAAGGTGCACACTCGAGAGTGCCTGACGTACTTATTTTTGCATACGCTTTTATGTATGCATTTTGTATATTGCATGGCCATTATTATTCGATTCTACTAAGACCTGAAAATCCCTACAGATGCACTCTAGAGTGCTTAAAGAATAGTGTAGTGTTCACACCAGCTCAAAACTGAACATTTTAAGTTCATAACATTCGAAATAAATAGTAAAAATCATGATTGGAAGAAAAGAAGAAAAAATGCCAAGAAGACAATTCATAAATTTTCAGAGTAGAGAGGATTAGGAAAGCAAGGCTTCTCGCCAGTGTCCATAATCAGGTCCATAGTCAAGATTAGGGAAGCTTAACTTCGCGCCAGGGTCAAGATGTCACCTGCCCCATTCACACAATTTAGATTGCAGAATTTTAGGGGTCTACATTTAAGAATCGATGAATTGAAAACTTGGCAATCAATTTTATAGAAGAAAATTAAATCTTGGAATTAAGTGAGAAGTTAATGCATATTATTTTTGGAATTGCAATAATTTATAGGAATGAACACTACTAAGACCTGAAAATCCCTACAGGTTAACTCGAGAGTGCCTGACTTAATTATTTTTGTATACGCTCCTTTTGTATATTGCATTGCCATTATTATTATATTTCAGTTATATACTAAAACCTGAAAATCCCTAAAATTATTTTTGAATACGCTTATTTTGTATGCATTTTGTATATTGTATGACCATTAATATTATATTTCAGTTACATACTTATGTATATTATGTATGCATTTTGTATATTGCATTTTTTTTTTTTTTTAATTTCAATAATTATTACAACTGCTAATTTATTAACATCAAGTAATATTGATAAATAATAATATAAATTTAGATAAATAAAAGAGCAAAGGATAAAATTTA